CTGCTATGCCTTTGCAAACTCCGAGCAAAGAGTATCCAAAGAGCAATAACAAACCTCTCTCTTCACATCTTTTACCAACACACTCCCTGTTGCTCTGCATTAGCGCCAACAGGCTAATGCAAAAGTGACGAGATTTTAGTCTCAATTTTATCCATGTTAATTATTATTACACCTTTAAGAGCTTCTTTCCAACACTTCCCCAGCATTCCCCTTCCAATATGTACATAAGTATTTAATACACAGTAGCTTTTACAATCGCTCAGCCCCTTTTTCTCAGGTGACTTATTCCAGCACATCTACTGCAAGGACGACAACTAGGAAAAAAAAGTTCTTCCCATCCACTGCCGCCTGAAAACAACCCATTTTTCCTCTGCTTGACAAAACAGAAGAGCAGCACCACGCACAGGCTGTGCCTGACCTGCAGCTTCGCTTCCTCCGCTGCCGCCGTGAGTAACCACATCTCAGGGGCGCGGGTGTCCCCGCCACCCCGTGCCCTCCCTGCACCCTCGGCCAGGCGCTGCCCGGGGCCGGAGACGAGCCGCGGCACCAAGTTTGTCCGCTGAGTCCTCCCGGCCCCCGCGGCGCGGGGGGAGCTCCGGTCCCAGTCCCCGCTAGAGGAGGGGAGGGGAGGAGGCCGCCGCGCCCCCGCCCTGGCGCTCCCGGCTCGCTCGGACAGCGAGGCAAGCCGGGGGCACGGAGGACCCCCACCCTCGGCAGCCGCAGCGCTCCCACCCGTGCCCACCTGCTCGGCGGCCGCGGCCGTCGGGGCTCCTCCCCAGGCAGAGGGCGCCAGGTACGGCGGCCTCCCGCCTCCCCTGGCTGGGGGGCGGGGGGAAGAGGCGGGGGGGGGGGGGGGGGGGATCTTGAGGGGAAAAAGCCCGCCGCTGACTTCAGGAGGGAATAATAATAAATATTTTCTTTTAAAAGTAGTAATTTAACACACCGCCCACCCGCGGGCCCCACCTTCTATCCCCACCCTTGGGAGCGCGGCGGCTTTTGCGCGAGGATGAAGTTCCAGCTGGAGCCTGGCACACCCTTCCACGTGTTTGTACCTTGGCAGAGCCGAGGCTGTTTTTAAAAGTCCGCGTGGACACCAAAATGCTGCCCCGTGGCACGGAGAAAAGATGCCACTACCCTGTCCCCTTGCTAAACCTCATCCACCTGCCGAACCGCTTCTGCCCAGCAGCCTTACGAGGGCCTGTGCTCGGAGCCGGCTGTGTCCCCTTGTTTTTTGTGCCCCAGATTGTGCACTAGAAACAACTGGGGGAAAAAAAAAATCTTGTTTTCTGCTGGCTTTATTTCAATGCTGTTTGCAGATGGGAATGTTATGGACTCGCCCTAGTGAGCCTTCCATGTTTCTGTCAGGGTGAGGGACTTGCTGTGAAGGGAGCTCCTGGACAGCTGGAGGAATGGAGCACCCCCAGTTTGTCATGCACAAGTGCCTCAGGAATGAGGATGATGCTGAATAACTTAAAAATCCTAGCATGGGTTCTGGTCTGCCCGTCAACCTTTGGATGGTCTATTCCAGTGGCTGAGAGGCAGGCCCATCTTCACTGGATTTCTCTGGAAAACCTTTTTTGTTGTGGAAATGTAAAACTGGGTTTTTCAGTGCCCTGCTCAATTATAAAGCAGTTCAGACAAATCAATGTCACTTGGATCCAAACGATGGCAGTCAGCCTGAGGTTGGTGGAAAGTCAACAATGGGCTGTGGCACCACTGCTCATCAGGGCAGGGGCACAAAAATCAGTGCTCTAGATCTCCTTGTCCTGTCTGTCCAGAGGTGTGAGTTTGATTTATTGTTCTGAAAATATCCTCCTGATTGCTTGTCAGACTAAATAATTCTCAGCCCTATGTATCTGCCTCAGTTGCTTCTACAGCGGTCAGGGAGCTCTAAAACCATTTCCAGCTGGTCACTAGTTTGAACCTCAAAGCACAAAACAAAGCCAAGAGGGTCATAGGTAGTGCCCCAGAAAAATCAAAATGTAAGCATTTACTTAAAAAATATATAAATAATACCACACTTGAAAACAGGTTTCATTATTCATGCAAATTAATCTCAGCTGAGATTTGATTTTAGATTGCTAATGCTGAAATGAACTTTGTCCACCTTTTGGATTAGCTAGAAAAGGAACTTCAGGGGAATAAGCTGCAAGAGTGCAGAAAATAATTGGTTATGTGCTGTCCCTATGACTTTTCTTTCACTTATTTTCTTTCACTTCCCAGCAAGGTCCACATAATGACTGGAGCAGTGCAGCAGTGACCATTTCCACCTATGGAGCTGAACTGACCCAGTACAAAATTTACACACTGGTCTAGTCTGAAATAATCAGCTTTACCTGTGGTCCATAGTTCACATACATTTAATATACTGCAGTAGGTATTACTTGCCTCTTGGCTAGTTACAGAAACCTGTTGTGCATTAGATCTCATTAAGAGAATCCTACTGGTTTCCATGCCTAGGAATGATAAAAGTCTCCGCTTTCTGTTTTGTTTGTGGGAGACATAGATGAGAAGGAAAAAGGAAAGAAGTGCTACCTTTCCAATGCTGAATTGGAATGAAGGTACTTCTGGAGATGGTGATGGAAGAGGCCAAAGACTCCTGTACAAACTGCAAGGGGCTCTGTGAAGGCCAGTGCACTGAAACCCCCATTTCTTCTGGTTCCTCACATGAAATCCTCCTCCTCCTCCTCCCAGCTGCATCCAAGATCACAGAAAGGGCAATGCAGCAGGGACAAAACTGACTCCAAATCATTATATAGAATGTGCTTTTCTGGTGTTTCATTATACACCAATTTAAGATTATTTGAAGTGCTTTAAATACAGAAAACTTGACTCAAACATATTTGTAGCTAACACTATGTTTCACAATGCATAGCCATAAATGTAATTTTATTTCCCATACATTCCATCAGCATAACTATTAAAAATTATGTTGTGTACCACAATTATATTTTTACTCCTGGCCAATACATTTTAACACGGATCAAACAATACATAATTTTCTTCAGAACAGGAGAATCTCTGTATGAGTCTTAGACTGCTGGTTCTCTGTGGTTCCTTGGTACCAAGTTAGAAGCAACTGCAAGGCTTTTTTTGGGTTTTGTCACAGGTTGGGAAGATATCT